CGAGTAACTGGGACTACAGGCACGCACCACCATGCCCAGCTGATTTTTTGTATTTTTAGTAGAGACGGGGTTTCACCATGTTGACCAGGATGGTCTCGACCTCTTGACCTCGTGATCCACCCGCCTCGGCCTCCCAAAGTGCTGGGATTACAGGCTTGAGCCACCGCGCCCGGCAAGTATCTTTTTCAAATAATGACTTCTTTTCCTGTGGGTAGATACCCAGTAGTGGGACTGCTGGATAACTGTCTCCCTTGAATACCTAATAAAATCATGTGAAAAACTATTAAAATAATACAGAGTTCAGAAAACATGCTGGCTACAGAATAAATGTACAAAATAAATACACTAAATCAGTTAAAAAATACAGTGTGAAAAAGGACTATTCACAGAAATGACAGGGAAATAATAAAGCTAAGAATAACCTCTATAAGAAATATGAAAGAACACTTTATTTAAAAACTATAAAAATTTTAAATGTAAAATTTGAAAATCCATGTTTCCGAATGAGGGTCCTCGAATATTACAGAGATAACAGTTCTTTCTAGTTTATAGGTTTACTGCAGTTACAATCAAGATTTCAGGTACTTTTTCAACTTCAAAGAATATATTTTTTAAAATTTCATAGGACTTAGGTAAGTACTTTAAAAAAAAGATATTAAAAGATTATATCAAGTATTAAAATATTGTAAAACTATAAAAACCAAAATAGGGCGGTACTGGTATGCAACTAAATAGAAGGAATAATGAACAAAAATATGGAGCCTAGAAACAAATCCTGTGCATACAGTGTATATAAGGAAAAGTAGTTTCTCAAATTAAGGGAGAAAAGCAATATTGGTCAATAGATATAAGTTCATCACACAGATAAAAAATAGCAACTTAGTCCCTTTTACATCTTCTGTGTTATCAAAATTAATTACACGTAAAAGGTTAATGTGGGCCGGGTACAGTGGCTCACAGCTATAATCCCAGCACTTTAGGAGGCCGAGGAGGGTGGATCACAAGGTCAGGAATTCGAGACCAGCCTGGCCAACATGGTGAAACCCCGTCTCTCCTAAAAATAGAAAAAATTAGGTGTGGTGGCACGCATCTGTAATCCCAGCTACTGCGGAAGCTGAGGTAGAAGAATGACTTGAACCCAGGAGGCGGAGGTTGCAGGAGCGGAGATCCTAGAATAATAGAACAATAGTAATGACCCAGTTGTAAAAAGATGAATAAGGGCAAAGGATATTAATAGGCAGTTTTCAAGAAAAGAAATACAAGTGACAAACATTTAGATTCAAGGGACAAAAATCCAAAGAATAAGAAAATGACTGTTTCCACCCATTAGGTTGGTGAAAAGTAAAATATTGGGCCCCCATTACTTAGAAGCATTTGGAGAAATGAGACTTCTCAGTGCTGTTAATCAATATGTATATTAACAGCTTTTTAGGAGGGCAATTTAGCTTTATCTTTTTTTTTTTTTTTTTTTTTTTTTTTTGTTTTTTTTTTTTTTTTTTTTTTTTTTTTTTTTTTTTTGAGATGCAGTCTTGCTCTGTCGCCAGGCTGGAGTGCAGTGGCGTGATCTTGGCTCACTGTAACCTCCGCCTCCCGGGTTCAAGAGATTCCCCTGCCTCAGACTCCCAAGTAGCCGGAAACTACAGGCACATGCTACCATGCTCGGCTAATTTTTTTGTATTTTAGTAGAGACGGGGTTTCACCATGTTGCCAGGATGGTCACGATCTCCTGACCTCATGATCCACCCACCTCGGCCTCCCAAAGTGCTGGGTTTACAGGCATGAGCCACTGCACCTGGCCACCTTTATCTAATTTTAAAAACATTTGTAATATATTTACCCCGATCCCAGCAATTCCACTGCTATGAATTTACCTGCTGGATATATGTGAAAAGTTCACCAAGATATGTGCACAAGGATGTTCATAATATAAGATTTAGCAGAAATGAAGAAGGACACAATATTATGTGATCCTAATTTTGGTGTGTGTGTGTGTGTAAACTGGAAGAATTCAATACAAAAGTTACCAGTTTTTATTTTCTGTAAGGGATTAAGATTTTAAAAAAAAAATTTTTTTTTTTTTTTAATTTTAAGCTCTGGGATACATGTGCAGAACGTGCAGGTTTGTTACATAGGTATTATACATGTGCCATGGTGGTTTGCTGCACCTATCAACCCGTCATCTAGGTTTTAAGCCCCGCATGCATTAGGTGTTTGTCCTAATGCTCTCCCACCCCTTGCTCTCCACCTCCTGTAAAAATAATTTTTATACTGTTTTGCATTTTCTAAATTTCCTCTAATAAACAGGTGGTACCTTTAAGATCAGAAAAAAAAAAAATTAAACACTGCTTCTAAAAAAATAACTCATCTCCAGCCCTTGGATCACCTAGCTCTACATACTTACCCAACTCAGCCCAATTTAGTCTTCTCAGGGCTTTGCCTAGCAACGGTTCAGGAATGCGTGCCTCTGAGGGCCATCCTGCTCTTCCCCTTCTGGCCTTGGTGTCTCATTCCTGCCCTCCCCTACCTCTCCAACCCCATCACTTGCTAGACATCCTGTTTTGACCTGAGTACTTGTTAGTACTTCCCAGAGGTGTGAACATTCCTTGCAGATCTAGGTGCCTTTCAGAGCCAAGGAGCTCACATTTGGAGGCGGCAGAGCTGTACTGCATCCCCTCAAATGTTAGCAGCGCCAAGAAATGAGACTCTAGTCCAGAGGGTACCGGAAACCGAAAGGGGCTGTTTCAAGTAGTCCACCTATGGGAGTCTCTGCTTCCCTGTAGTTCACCTTGCTCTAAGGATATCTTTTCTTTTTCGTATGAGGATTTTGAAATTGTTCAAATATAACACTATGAGTAATTTAATTCTTTTAATTTTTCAGGTTGCTGAAGCACATGTGCCTAATTTCATATTTGATGAGTTCAGAACAGTACTGTAACTTTTTTCTACTTCTTCAATGGAAGGATTGTCCTTAGATCTTCCCACCATCGCTAAAACAAATTTGAAAATGAAAAGAAACTCAGTTGTTCATATAACTGTGTTTTTTGCCCTCTGTTATTGGAAACATCAGATATTCTGAGTAAGATATATCTCATGGCATTAGTCAATATAACTGATAGTTTAAATCATATTACATGCAATTTCTATCATGTAGAAGCAGAACACATTTTTGTACTGCCTCTCATAAATGCTGACTGTAACTGTTATGTATAAATCCATGTAGTTTTATGTTCTAAAGAACTATTTGTCCAACTCCAGATTTTCAGTAAAATCGTATTACCAGTACCCAAAGTCATCTCTGCTTATGATTCAAAAATTGTATATTCACCCTGTAAAAAACCCTGTTTGGAAGGTAAGCAATGATTCTGCCAGTTACGATAGCCCACCCTCAACAAGCTGGCAGGTACGTGGTGATAGCCAGACTAGCAGCAAATGTAGTGGCCACATAATCTGTGTCATGTACCATGGAAGTTTCTTGGTGTCTCACCATCCTCTTCCAATCCCAGATGACGTAGGAAGTTCGCAGCATTCCTTGTATAGGACTTCCTAACAAAGCTGCTCCTTCCAGTATCTTCCTCAGCAACCTGAGTCCTGCCCCAAATCCCCAGGACTGTATCATTATCTATACGGCTTTTTGGTAATAGTCTTGCCATAAGCTTAACAACTCCCTCGAAATCCTAAATCATTTCTGCATGAAAATGACCCTGAAAAGGAAGCTGCCTCTATCAGTCTGTTGTCACACTGCTATGAAGGAATATGAGTGGGGACACAGAACCAAACCCCGTCACTGCCATCCTACTGTGGCAGCTTGGAAATCAACAACTTGGATGAGAGCAAGAAAGATGTTTCCACCCTGAATCTCTATGGTTATGTCCTCCTCTGGAGAGAAAAGGAACAAACCAAACCAAACCTGGAAGCTAAAATCTGTTTGACAGTCATTTTGCTAGTGGGGAAAGATGTGTTGATTTGTGGCCAGGAGACAAAATTTGAGTCCTGGTTCTGCCACAAGCTCCACCTTGTCGCAAGCCAGCCCACTGGCGTCATCTGTAAAATTAAGACTAAAGGATTTCTCAGGTTCCTTCAGTTTTCTCATTTTATGATGTTACTTCTTTTGTCTAAAGGCCTCAAATTCTGATATTGAAGGGAAGAAAAGACTTTACAGGCTTTGATTATTTCATCATAGTAGAAAGGATTTTAAAGGAGTCTCAGTGGAGAACAAGGAAAGCCTCGAATCCTGGCCACAAGGGCATCAAACCAGGGCAGAATTTTAAGTGAAATGTTGCTTGGTATGTAAGGAGCTTGGAAGTCTCACCCGCTGCAGAGCTGCTGTGTGGGAACATCTGTATCTCAAAGGTATCTTACTATTTTTCATTTGTAATCTTGTTAACATTAACTGCATGAAGTGAGATCTTTAGTTCTCTAAAAAGAAAGTTAACTGCTAAAAAGGCCGGATCTGGGAAAGTAAGTTTTTAACCAGAAAATAGAAGTTTAGGGTCAGTTAGATAGGAGTCTAAGGAAACCAAGCAAATGGGCCCACCATATGCTCTGCCAGAACAAGGCCATGATGCTTGAAACTGATTTTGCTAGTTATTTGGCCAGTGAAGTATTTTTCTCAACTGAAAGAACTTAAAAATTGAAATTTTTACTGTAAAAGCTTTATAAATTATTTTAGCCCTAACTGTCAGAATTTCAAGTAGTAACTTACTTTGACAGGTTATATTTTACTGCTCTTTCAGGGTAACAGTTTACTTTCAAGATATTTGGAGATTTACTGAACTTTTGTGATACCCTTTGAATATCCAGTCTCTTCAAATTTACTATAGATAAACTCAGTCAATTCTAACGGATCTTAAGGTGTTATGCCGGGTATTACAAGTGCTTATTCATTCACTCACTGTTTCTTGATGTCATCCTGGCCTGGTTTATTAATGTTACACAGTGTAACTTACAAAGCCCTTAACTGCTTTTCCTGTCAGAATCTGATATTTTCAGAACTCAGCAAAGATCCTTTCTGTTCAAATCTGAGTCACAGCCCCACAATAAAACAAATAGGTAATTTTTTTTTTTTTTTTTTTTTAAATGAAAAGAACCGTGTCAAATTGCTGCACTGGATAGATGAGGAAAACAGGTCAAGACAAGGCAGCTTCCCCAAAGTCAGAGCTATTTAGTAGAACAGGTTTCCCTCTGCACTTTTCATCCCACTTTGGTTTTCTTTCTCATTATCATGAAGCCACGTAAAGGAGTCCACAAGAAACAAAAAGACACGAAAGTGCATCCTTCATTTTATTTGCATTTCCCAACAACTCATCTCAGATACTAAATTCAAAAGAAAAACTGTAGTTCCTCAGTATTAGCACTAATTTATGGTAACAATCATTTCTTTTCAATATCTAACTTATTTTACCCTTCATTTTAAATTGCAAATTAAAGCATGTATTTACATAATTTATATACAAAAAAAATTCAAAAACAAATTAATCCCCATCTTGGTCCAAGAGTTTCCACTTTAGAAGTATATGGTACTAGGCTATATACATCCTCTTCCAAAAGTCTCTTAGGACTTGGTAAGTTCCAAATATTCATTCACAAATGGTTCTCCTTTAAGCTTAATGAACCATAATACTTCATTTCTGAGTAAATGAGAGGAAATATTACAGAACAAGCTTTGTACAATACAGCACCACTACTGAGAAGGGCTCGAGGTTTTGTAATCCAAGGTTCTGACTTAAAGCAAAAATATATGGCATATACTGCAACAGCAAAGAAGTGTCCAATTAAGACTAGAGGGTTAGGAGACAATCTGTAATGGAAAAAAATGCATACTGGTAAGAGTCCAAAACGAAAATTTACTCCAAAGGTTCCAATTACATATCATCTATAAAGCTCAACAAACATCCTACTTATTTTTTACCCAAGCACCATAATTCTGTATCAAATGTTTTACATTTTAGAGGACTTCACAAACTTATGTCTAAAAGTTAAGTATGATGGCAGGAGCAAATCCTTTTAAAAAAAAAAAAAAAAGAAAGAAAAAAAGAATATATCCTTTCAGGGAAGCTAGTAACTCCTGTAACTCCAATTTATGTAAGTCATATATTTTTAGCTGTTTTCTTTACTCATCCTGAGATGCCATGCTGAAATACCTGGATGGCCTGGTCTGTTGGGGTGTAGGGCTTTTAAAAATATCAGTATTGATGTTCAGATTATAGATCAATGAGAAATTACTCAAAGGATCACTTTGCAGATGAGAAATAACTCAAATGATTTCACTTTGTAGACTTTCCAAGAACAGTTCCACATATGTCTGTACTGCCAGAAGTAATACTGGGTGTGTAAGTCCCTGTACTTCAATGAAACTAATTTTTAAATTAAGAAATTTCAATTATTCCTGCCTCCCACAGATCAGAACATATGGATAAATCCATAGGCAAAAAAACAAGCTTCTATTTTAATCAAGGGTTATAGCTTCCTCTACCACCACCTTTAACTGCTGTTCCCTAGAAAGAAAACAGTACTAAATATTGCCTTTCTTCATTTCTTTGGGCTACCTTCTCATCGGGATACTAAAAGATAATAAAATGACAAAATGCATAAGGAAGAAAGATTTGCAGTAATTCATCAACTGAACAGAAAATCTGGCAGATCTGTATCCTCTATGCCATCACAACTTACACAGAAAGCAGCCCAACAGGACCCGCAACACATTCGCCACCAAGTTTGAAATAAAGAAAACAGGCTTTTCTTAGTTGATGCAGGGAATCTAAAATAAAATTGTAAAAATAATCAAATATGTGTACACACTTAACGTAGGTGCTAATGATATGTCAGAAAAAATGAGAAATACATCTTGCAGATAATTTTTAAATATCTAGTCCTAGAATTTCAACAACCAGGACTTCTTTTAAATCAGCATTATGGAGAGTAATACAAATATCAAACTTTTTTCTGTTAGAATATAATGATACATTTCTGTAAAATTTATCATAGAAATATATTATTATATTCTAACAGAATATAATAACATTTCTATAACAATATATTTCTGTTAAATATATTACTAATATTTAGGTCTTGGAAGAGCTGTTTAAAAGGTACTTCCTTGATTTTGTTGTTAATTCTTTAAGTGATGCAAAATACTTTGAAAGCTATTTTTATTATAAAAAAACAATTCTAGAAACCAAATTCCCAGTCTCTAAGATGCCCAACCCATTATCTCTAACTAAGCAATAAATTATCAAGTAAAAAAGAAAAGCCATGAGTAGCAATCAATAATAATTCTACAAAGTTTTAAATACCTTTCAAAGTAACTCATAAGAACCTCACAACATAGTATAATCATCAATAACCTTTTTAACCGTTTAGAATCAACGTTCAATTCAGGTATGCCTAGATTTTTCTTTAAAACAGATTTTAAAAAGTAAAGAACGAAATAGGTAAACTTTTGCTCTAATAAAGGTCTTTCCTCCTCCAATCTTGTTAACTTTTAAAAAATGTTGTTTTGTTGGTAGATTCAAATCCATGATGTAAGAATTCAGAAGTTAGAAAAACTTAGAAGAGCTCAGAAAAACTCTAAACTTAGTTCTTTTTATTTGCCCAAAACTCTAAACTTAGTTACTTTCATTTGCCCAACCAAACATTTTAACTTCAGTGCCAATTCAGCAAGAAAAATTTGCTTGGAAAATCACAAGTAGTGAGGTTGGTGGGTTTTTGTTTTCTTTTCCTTAGGAAGAGTTGATGGTTATAGAGGCAACACAGAGCATTTTATTGTATCATCTTTTGTAATTATGACCACAGCACTGATCACTAGGGCCTCAGCCAGATCATACAAATAGCTATGTTGCAAATATACTAGAGTAATGGGATTTGAGTCAGATTTATTTTTGAACACTGAAAAGCCTAGTTTCATTAACCTACTGCTAAACTGATGTGTAGACTGCTATGGAAGGAGGTGGCACAGTTGCTTATTTTTTGTCTGAGAAGATGGAGTCTCACTCTGTTGCCCAGGCTGAGTGCAGTAGCACTTCATACTGCTTACTGTATATAGCTCACTCCATTAGCTCACTGTGGCCTCAAACTCCTGGCCCTAAGTGATCCTCCCACGTCTGCCTCCCAAATAGCTGGGACTATGGGCACATGCCACCATGCCTTGCTAATCTTTTAATTTTTTGTAGAGATGGGGTCTTGCTTTATTGTCTAGACTGGTGTGAAACTCCTGGCTTTAGGTGATCCTCCTGCCTTGGCCTCTCAAAGTGCTGGGATTACAGGCATTGAGTCACTTCAGCTGG